GTAAATTTGAAAAAATCAGGTGTTTAAATATTAGAGTGCAAAATTCAGGTGAGAAGATTTTTTAATCAAAATTCAAGTATTAATTTAAAAATTAAATATTATTCCCCCCCTACCCTACCCTACCCTACCCAATCCCAAACCCTAAATCATTTTTCATCTACCTCTCATTCTTTCCTCGTCTCTCTCTATCCTCTCCATTTTCTTTAGATCGCTGTCGCCCTTGAGGAGTTCCCGTCGCCGGAGAGTCGAGCAGTGGCTTCATTGCTGCTGTGCTGCCCCTCGAGGAGCCCCCTCCTATGACCAACTCTCTCCCTCGTCTCTCTACGTCCGACGCTGTCAATAGTAGCTTCGCGATGCGCCGATGACGTTAGCGGCAGCGTCGCGCGTCGCTGCTTTGAACGGAGTAGCATCCCGAGAAGCTGGCGTTCGCGGGGTGTGTGCCTTTCGTGACTGTCGGCTGCCCTTTAGTGGGTGTGTCGTGTGTATGCTGTGAAAGGTAGTGGCGGAGTGGATGTGGTGTTTAACTGCAGATGTAGTGTGCAGTGGGTTTAGATCTGATTGGTGGTGGTGTTGGTAGTTTGTGGTTGAATGCTGCGGTGGTGGTGGGTGTGTGTGTGTGTGCTGTGGGTGCGGTGGCATTGGCGGCATAGGTGTGTGGTTTTTGACAAGTCGTGGAGTGTGTGGTGGGTTGGTAGGTTCACATCTAGTTTGATGGTAGTGCTGATAGTGGTGATGTTGTGTTCGTGGTGTTGTATTGTTATTGGTGGTGGTGGTGGTGGCAACGGGAAGAACGGTGTTTGTGATTTTGATTTTGTGATTAAATATAATCTGTGACTTTAAAATTCGGTAATCTTTGACTAAAAATATAATCCGTGACCAACCAATTTTTTAATAGTGACCGAAAAATTATATAATATGTGACCAATTAATGAAGAAGTCGTTGTGCGGCCCTGTGATCGACATGATGTCGCTGTGTAGCGGCGCCTCTGTCTTCATCTATCTTCACCGTTGTTCAGCCTCCTTTAGTAGCGACATAAGCGATGCTCCTGTAGTCTTCACTATTGTGTAGAGG